TTACCATTTAATTGAAAGTCATCAGAAAAACAGACAAAATTCTCCATATATTTATTCATATAAACTTTATATGAATTTTCAGTCATAAAAGTAAATATTTCCACCTCTGTTTTTAATTTTTTAATGTGTAATTATTTATTATTTTGACACTTATTCTATATATTTTTCAAATGTTAATGAACATAATTTTGTTGTGCAGAGCAAAGTGGACTCCTGGTCTTCGCTCGTCGTCCCGTTCGCCATGATCATCTTCTCCGTCGTGATCCTGGAGTTTACGTCGAAGCCGTCTGCAGCGCCAAGATGGAGGCTCCGCGCTGCGCCCGCTACGGCGCCTTCGCCCTCTTCCCGGCCGCGCTGGCGCTGGCCAACTTCTGGACCGGCCGCTGCGCCGCCCGCCGCCGCCGCAGCTCGCCACCGAGCACGTGCTCTCCGGCGGAGTCATCGTCAGCGCCGTCTTCTTCGTCATGGGTAAGTGACGAACGGAGGCGGAACCGACCGCGCTTCAGTTCGCCCTCTGACCTCCACTCTGCCCCCCGCAGCCTCCAGCATCCTGACGGCGCCGTCCAAGAAGGGGCAGAAGGGAACGCTGGTGGGCTACTCGCCCGAGGGAACGCCGCTGTATAACTTCATGGGCGACGCCCTGCAGCACACGTCGCAGTCGCTGCCGCGCTTCATCAAGGATTCGCTCAAACAGATCCTGGAGGAGTACGACTCCCGGCAGATCTTCTACTTCCTGTGTCTCAACCTGGTAGGTCGACCAAAGACGACGAGACACTCACCAGAAAATACAGAGATCGTGATGGTGCAAGGGTCAAAGGTCGCAGCATTAAAGTCGTAACAATGCGAAACTGAAGTGAGAAATACCAGGATCAAATGATACGATAAAAGTTTTAACATTATGAGAATAAATCAAGGGACGGTTGCTAACGATGCTAAGTCATCTTAGCTGCACCTTTAAAAGGTTTAAAGTGGTTGACCTGAAGTTGACCCCTATGTTAAAATCACCGTAGCATCCAGAGTTGTTCATGGTTTTCCGCAGGCCTTCACGTTCGTGGAGCTGTTCTACGGCGTTTGGACCAACAGCCTGGGCCTGATCTCTGACGGCTTCCACATGCTGTTCGACTGCTCCGCTCTGGTTCTGGGCCTGTTCGCTGCCCTCATGACCCGCTGGAAGGCCACCAGGATCTTCTCCTACGGGTAAAACCGCCTGAGGCGCCGGCCGCCGCCGCCGTTCTACGGAGCCGCATTAGGGCCAGGACAAAATCTCTGCCAAAAAAACCCTGAAATCTTGAGATTAAGCTCAATATTTTTTGAAAAAAAAACTGACACATTTTTTTTTGTTTTAAAGTCCAATATTGCTAGAAAAACTGAGTAATTCTGATCATTTTTCAGAATTGAAAAAAAAGTTGAAAATATGCAACTTTTTGACATTTTGGCTCAAAATGCCAAAACTTTTCTATCAAATCCAGAGATCCATCCCAAAAATTTTATGGAATAGAGTTTTTAAAATTATTATAGACAAGCACAGAAGTCAAAGCATCATTTTTCACATGGACTGAATGATGTCCAGTAAAACTCAGGGAAAAGTAATGATTTTCTTTAGCTTGGTTCAAATTCCTGCTAATAAACAGCTGAAGCTTAGAGCTGCTGAAAAGTCCCATTGAGCAAAGAGAAATTGTTTTTAATTTGAAAAGTCCCTCAAATGAGGGTCATTCCGTGTGTCCCTCATTTGTTAGAAAAAAGAAAATTTCTGAGTTTGAAAACTCGAATAATTTGCCATAAATAGGAAATTTCTGAACAGCAAAATGACAATTTTATAGAAGTTTTGAGATTAATCAGAATTTCTTAGAAAAACTGAAAATCTGCTTCTAAAATGTTTTTTGTTTCAAAAAGAGAAGATTTTTCTACTTGAAATTTTTTTCGACTACATTTTTTTTAAGCTCAAATTTCTTTTTTCTTGTAAAAAATTTCTGAGATTAATTTGAAAATTTTAAATGTTGCAGTTTTCACTTTTGTAGCTCAGAAAGTTTCTCATTTTTTCTAGAAATATTTTTAAAAATTGTATCAGAAATGGCTCCTCGTGTCTCGTGTCCCTCATGCTGTGCGTAGCTTTCAGGTCTGCTGGGTTTTGCTCTTGCAGGTTCGGCCGCGTGGAGATCCTGTCTGGGTTCATCAACGGCCTCTTCCTCATGGTCATCGCCTTCTTCGTGTTCGTGGAGTCGGTCACCCGCCTGCTGGATCCTCCCAACATCAACACCGACATGCTGACCGTGAGTTTTCCCTCCACGGCACGAAGCTTTCAGCAACACAAACTCCGGATCAAAAGCCAAAATAAACGGAGTGAAAACAGTCGGGTTTGTTCTGGTTCTGGAAGAACTTTGTTGGGTCAGCAGAGTAAACACAGTCGGGTGATTTAAGCTCCTCCAGATGTTTGACAGAAAATATTATTGTTGTTATTAGCAAACAGGATTTAAAGAAGAGAGTTCTGGGTCGGGGTGGCCTTCAGAACCAAACCTGATCCGGTCCAAATGGAGCTCTGATTTATAGAGGAGCTTTATGAATGAATGAATGTGTGCGAGTGAAAACAGTTGGTGTCACGACTGTTTTCTACACTTTTAAACACGTTCACTGCCGTGGATGAAGAAACAATCGGTTCTCAGGTCAGATGGGTCGGGTTTAATTGGACCTCACACGGAACAAATGATCTGGATTCTCAGGATCAGGTTACGGGTCACTGCAACCTGCAAACATCCAGGTCCAGTGAAAGAGACACAAAACTACGGAAGACAATTAGAGCCACTAAACATAAAGAAGTCTGACTTTAATCTCTGAATTCAGTTAGCCCTGAATTTACTCTTTTTCCAAAGAATGTTTTCTTTTTTTTCAGATTTTTTTAAAAGTATTTTTCTGAATTGTGATATAATCTCAAAATGTTTCCTTTTTTTAAGAAGAATTTGGCCTGTTTTTTGTCTAATTTTTGAGGTTTTTTTCTCCAAATTCTGATTTTAATCTAAAAATTCTGGCATTTTTTTCCAAATTCCAATTTAGTCTCAGATTTTTTTCCCCAAGTATTTTACCTTTTAATTTTTGTCCCATTTTTCAGTTTTTTTTTCTCCAAATTTTAATTTTAATTTTATCTTTTTTCTAGAATTTTGACCTCCTTTCTCTGAAATCTGACCGTAATCTCAAAATTCGATCGTTTTTCTTAATTTAGTTTTTTGTCCTCCAATTTCTGTCATTTGATGCCAGAAGATTAAAGTCAGAATTCTGAGAAAAAGAGATTTATTTTTTTGCAGTGACTAATCCTCGTTCACCTGAAACGATAATCTGTGGTTCCTGCAGCCGGTGTCGGTTGGCGGTCTGCTGGTCAACCTGGTGGGAATCTGCGCCTTCAGCCACGCCCACTCCCACGGCGGGAAAAGCTGCTCCTCTCACGAACCACGGACACTCACATCACGGCCACCCCACGGCGAGCACAGCCACGCCCACGGTGGTCACGGCCACGCCCACGGTGCACACGGCCACGCCCATTCCCACTCCCACGGCTCGGGCAGCAGAGGAATGAACGCCAACATGCGAGGTTTGTCGCTGCGGCGCCGAGGAGTTCGTGGAAACGCGATAATTCTCTGAATTCGTTTCGTTTCTTCCAGGAGTTTTCCTCCACGTTCTGGCCGACACTCTGGGCAGCGTCGGCGTCATCATCTCCACCATCCTCATCCGGCAGTTCGGCTGGCTGATCGCCGACCCGATTTGCTCGCTCTTCATCTCCACGCTCATTTTCCTGAGCGTCATCCCGCTGCTGAAGGACGCCTGCGAGGTTCTCCTCCTGAGAACTCCTCTGGAACAGGAGAAGGAGCTGAACGGCGCGCTGGAGAAGGTGAGGAGGCCCAGATCCTCACTTCTTACACCAAAGTTTGAGATTATAGCAACAAAATGAGAGTTTTCAACACATCATCTCAGCTGAAAGAAGAAACTGGAGTTAATTCTGCCATCATTATGCAGATGCTAATACTGCTAGATGTTATTTAACAACATTTAGCAGAAGCTAACAAAAACTCTACACTAACATTGTAACGGTGGAAGCTAATGCTAAAGCGACAGTGCTATAACAGCATGTTATTAAGCGGTAGCTAATGCTAACATGGTACTAAACATAAAGCGATGCTACATGCTAAATCAACCAGGATGGTATTTACCAGAAGATAATGCTTAAGCGCTATAACAACGCAATATTTAGCAGGAAAAAGCAAAAAAACCGCTACATTACCATTGTATTTAGTGGAAATTAAAGCCATACTAGCATGTTATGACCGTAAAGTAAAGATACAGTGAAATATCAAAATGGTACTCAGCAAAAGCTAACCCTAAAGCGCTACACCAGGATGTTAGGTGGAGGCTAAAGCTAAAGTGTTGTACCGACATTGTATTAAGCAGAAAGTACCGCTAAGTGCTAAAACCCGACTTCTTCATTTATTTTGCCCTGTTGCAGATTGAGAAGATTGAAGGAGTTGTGTCGTACAGAGACCTTCACTTCTGGAGACATTCGGCCAACGTGATCGCCGGCACCGTCCACCTGCAGGTCATGTCAGACGTGGTGGAGCAGCGGATCATCCAGCAGGTCGGCTCAAGCCAGTTTCCTTCCACAGCTTCGATTATCGCAGATTAGTTGCGCAACTCGATTATCTGACTGTGGCGTCTCCGCGGCTCCAGGTGACGGCCATCTTGAAAGACGCCGGGGTGAACAATCTGTCGGTCCAGGTGGAAAAGGAGGCGTACTTCCAGCACATGTCAGGACTCAGCACCGGCTTTCAGGATGTTCTGGCCATGACGCAGCAGATGGCGTCCATGAAATACCCCAACGACGGGACTCTCATCATGTAGCGCCGTCTAAAGACTCAAAGAAAAACCCTACAGATGTACAGTTTGTGTAATAAATCCGAATATGATGGGTTCATATTCTTGTTCTGACGATTCCTGCACGTTTTATTTCAAAATGACAACAAACAATCTTATTCAACGACAGTCTTGGGTTTATTTAAGCGATGAGCATTAATCTAATGCATATAAGTGTGAAGGAAAACACCGTCTGACAATCTGTGGCGCATCAGTGCAGAGAGAGCCTGATATATCTGATATGTTGCCCCATTCAAAACTGAGTTTCTTTAATCCACATGTTCCAGCTGACATGTAGGAGTCAACAGCGCTTCGGGTTGTCTGATGTGCAAAAATAAAAAGTGAGGAAAGTGGAGGGTTCATGCATCCTACTGCTGATATTTCTACTCGATCTCGTTGGAGCTTCCCACGGCGACGCCGACCTCCGTCTCTGCAGGAAAACACAGAGGAGTCAGGAATATAATCTCGGATTATGTGATGTAGTTGAGAGGGAGAGAGGGTCACCTGGGCAGGGACCGCTGTCCAACATGATGTCATCGATGGCGATGTCACTCCTGACTGAAGAGCCGCGAGTCGCTTCAAACACGATCTGGGAAAAAAACAATTAAATCTTTTCTGGACAACTAAACTTTAATTCAACTTTAAAATAATACAGGCTGAGATAATCGAGGTATATCTTTGCTAAAATAAGTTTATGTTGCTTAACTAAATCAACACTGCTAAAGCTAAGCTCCATTGAATTAACAGGAGCTAATATGAGACTAAAACAACAAATTTCAAACTAAAGGGAAAATAGAATCTAATATAATAAAAAATAAGCTAAGGAGTGATTATATAAATTAAATAAGCCTTGACACTGGTTCAATACACTAAATTAGAATAAATTAAGCTTTGCTAACAATTTATATTGAGAAAAACTAAAAACAACAAAAACATGCTAAATCAATATTTTAGCTTGCTTTTTAAAATGTAACTAAATCAAATAAAAAATGTTAAACATAAGCCAGAGGACATGGTGAAGAGAAAAGACAAGAAACTGTGAGCTAAGTTAAACTTAGCTATGCTAACAGAATCTGAATGAGAATGAACTAAAGAAGCTAAATTTAACTAAAAGAATGTATTTAAATTTTGATTTAGGAGATCTGCTAAAATAATACATTAAGCCTTATGAAGACAAGAACGACTAAGCTAATATAAGCTGGAATTACGTAAACTAAAGGCTATGCTAGGATATTTTAGCTTAAGCTAATATGTTAGTGACTTCTGGATTTTGTCAAGTTTAAAAAAGTCAGATTTTCTTGTCTCTTGTCGTCTTTCTTTCCAACTGCTTGATCGTTTTAAGCCTCTGGATGAAACACTGAACCATTTATGGCTGATGTTTGGCTTCACTTCCATGTGATGATGGATAAACGGGAGTAAGAATCCAAAATTATCTCCTTATCTGGGTTAATGTCATGGCAGCAGCTCAAATGTTGTCATCCTTGTTTTCTAGTTTCACCATCTTTCACTCTGTTTGTTTGGATTCCTCTACAGGAGAGAGACGATGATAGAGAAGAGAAATGTTTCCACTAATTCAACCTGAAAACTTTAACAACATGCATGATGTTTATTTACAGCAGATTCTGTTGTTTTCAGAAAGAAATTAACAACATTGATTCAATAAACTCAAAGGTTATTGGAAATACTTTGTATTTGCTTAAACAGGGCAGGTCAAAGCTTTTTGGGGGCCCTAAGCAGATTTTCATTTGGGGCCCCTCACACCAATATGCTTTATGATTCCTAAGATACTCAGCTACTATTAATAGCATCATTTTAACATACCAGCTCTATTATAGGCATTTATTTTATTTGAACCTTACAGGAGCAGCAAACTAAACAATTGTTTGGATTTTCAGACAACTCAGATTAATTATGACGAATGTTTAAACCAATATCTTAATATCACTTCTAAAAATAACTTTCTTCATAATCCTCAAGAACATAAACGTGTTATATCAGATAATCATCCTTAATGTATAGATATACTCAAATATATACAGTAATATATAAGTAAATGTATATATACTTTTTGTTTCTTTTTCACATGTGAAGGGACTAAAATATATTTTAATAAATCAACAGTAGGAGGATTTATCTCTGTCTCACCTGATGGTGCCTCTGGCTCTGATATTCCACTTGGGCTCTCAGCCAAGCCACGCTTTGCTCGCCGCTCCGTTGCCACAGCAACGCCTCCTCCCCGTCCTCGTCGGCGAACACCCGGAGCTTCCCGGTTCCCGACCCGTACATGTGGTAGAAGAACCGGAGACACTGAGGGCCCCGGGTCCCCCGGACAGGACGGGACCGCAGCCGCGCGCTCTGACCCGGCAGCATGGGCGACGACGCCTCGATGTACATGTAGTACCCTGTCGCAGGCAGAGGGGGCGCTGTCTGAGGGACGCTGCAGCAGGAAACAGGAAGTGACGGGGGGTGACCTCACCGAGTCCTGTGGTGTGGTCCCCTCTGGGGCCCGTGTAGGAGGTGGGAGTGGGGCCCCTCCTCTGGTGCCAGGCGGCGCCGTCTCTGTGTTTGTCCTGGGAGTATCCGCAGAGTCCGGCCTCGAAGTCGCAGTGTCCGGGCAGCGGCGCCGACAGGAAGCCTGAGACGAAACCACATGATTGGTCCAAACCCGAGAAAGAATCTCTGGTAGAGAACAAACCAACCGACTGATACGACACCAGGAAAAAACTATTTAATTTACAAAATGGATAATAAATACAAATGTTGAAGGCATTTTAAAAAATAACCCACTTACTCCAATTAAACGAAGAAATTTAAAGGTACAAAATAAAAAAATATATAAAGAACAAACTGCTTAAAAATTTTTTGATAAAAATTTAAAAAAATAAAAAGTAACTTTTTACATGAAAAAGATAGTTAAAATAATCAAAGTAAAAACAAATAAGATAAATTTAAAAATGCATGAAAAAAAATATACATAATAATAAATGTTTACCTGACAAGAAAGTAACTGTTTGCCCCAACAAAAACAAATTAACATATAAAAATGTTAAAATTGTCAGATTAACGTGTATAAATCCTTAAATCCGGTTTAGTGTTGGAACAGACAGTCGTTGTTACCGGCCGTCAGCTCACAGTCTCCCAGCTTCAGGCTGATGTCGTCCAGCGCCACGGAGCCGCAGTCCCAGAAACTCCTGCAGGTGCTGACGAACGCCATCTGAAGGAGACAAACAGGAAGTGAGACGCTTCTCCCTCTGGCTGCTGACCAATCAGTGATCTGCTTCACATCAGTGGAGCAGTGGGAGCTTCTAGCTGAGTGGAAAGGTGAGAAGCAAAAATGTAAGAAAGGCTGTTGGTTCTGGTCCATCTGTGGAACTTGTTTAGAAATTTCTTCTATTGATTTTCAGGCTTTGATTTATTTATCAAAGTTCAAACATTTTTAGATTCAAACTATAAAAAGGATGGATGAAAGCTTTGGAAAATATATTTTTCCAAACTTCCACTCTTCAGAATTTCTCCAGGAATTCTGCCCATTTTTTCCATCCGTTTTGGTTTTATTGTTTTTCCAACTTTAATCCAAAGTTCCTGTGTATTTTTTCTCTCATGTTATCATTTCGTTTTCCTCTGCAGCAGTCAGGACTCATTTTCCCGTGGTTTCTCCCTCCCTCCAGTCTCTCTCTGTTCGTTCTTCCACATGCGGTTCCCTCTCGTCTTCCACTGACCTTGGCCGGCTGCGACGTCTGGAAGGTCACGTCTGCTGAGATCCAGATTCCCCTGGACTTTTCGGCCTGGGTCCAGATCTTCTCCCGCCGGCCTCCCTGCCGCAGCAGGTAAACCACCAGCGCCTGCTCCGTCTGGTTGAAACCTGCCACAGTTTTCATTCAGAAAAACCCAAGATTCCTGCAAACCGTTCACACCAGAGACACTTCACAGCCGGAGTCGACTCACCTCTAAGAGAGAAGTAGAACCTGAGGCAGAACCTGCTGTTCCCCGGCAGCGTGGGGCTGATCACGCTGCTAACGTAGCCGGAGCGCGGGCCCATCCGGGAGTGGGCCAACAGGAAGGACCCTGGTGGGAGAAGGTGGCATTTATTTTCTGGTGAAAATCTGTTTTCAACTACAAATGCCGGCATTTCATAAGAAAGTATTGGTTTTTATTCCTCTCTGACAAAACTCCTTGAAACTGAAGGAAAAAAGTGTGAAACTGGTGAGCACACTTCTGCTAATCCGCTAATAGCAGCCGTTCCATTTCCTCTCCTTCTTCCCCCCGATTTCTTTTTTAAAAGGAAAAAACCTACAGGAACAAAATAAAACCAACAGTAGAGAAGAAGATAAAAACATAAATCAATACCTAAAGTCATTACAGAACATGGATGTCAACATAGTTGAAGCTTTAGCATTAGCTTCTGCTAAATAACCTGTTGAAATAGCTCTTTAGCATTAGCTTCTGCTAAATAACCTGTTGAAATAGCTCTTTAGCATTAGCTTCTACTAAATAATCTCTTGAATAGCTCTTTAGCATTAGCAGAACTAATATTTCTGATTAGTTAGTGCACGGAATTTAATTTTAATTCAGTTTAATGAACATATTTCACCATCCATGTTGTGCTGAATCTGGGAGGTTTGGTGAAATATGTCATTAAGTCGTGTTTGCAGTTTTCTCTCACCTGCTCCTGTGGTGTGGTCTCCATTCCTGAATATGTTGGGTTTCACCGACACTCTTCTCCAAGACGACGCGACGCTGCGGTCCTGGGTGTAGAGGCAGAGACCAGATTCAAAATCACAGTTGGCGATGGACGGATCGAAGGCTGGCTCTGTGGAAGTAATGCCAGGGATCAGCATGTTGGCTCTCTGGGAGAAATGATTTCTGCGGCTCTCTTGGTGTTTGGTTGGCTTGTTGGGATTCATGATGTCACAGCTCACCTGTGTCTTTGTTACAAAACTCTGGAGAAAAGGAAATGTCATCCAGAGCAACATGTCCGCCTCGCGGGCTGTTGAAGCCCACTTCAAAAACCACCTGGAAGTAAAAGAGAGAAACAGAAACCCATAAAAAAGCTGCATGTCAGCTCTTCCACAAATCTGAAAAATATTGCAAGTTTCCTGTGTGCATATTTTATGCATTCATGGCAACCAGAGCAGAAGGAAATGTGGATTTACTGTAAAAATGAGGAGAGTGAGAGAGATATCCTCTGGACACAACCAGAGACTCTTCATGGACAGGAGAGTCTCTGGTTCTTGTGCCAGGATGAGAATCCAGTCGTTTGGGTTTGGTGGAAGAGTTCAGGTATCACACGGGTTGGTGCCGTTCCAGAGACTCCACCGGCAGTTGGACTGGAAACTGACGGTGAACCCAGTTGAACCCAAATGCCTGACATGACATCAAACTAGTGCGGCGCAAGCAGGGACATTTTCTGTCCAACGATCAATGACTGTGTAGTGAGACGGCAGCAGGTCGACCCAAACTGCAGCGCGGTCCAGTATGCTGTCTGATGGACCAGTTGGACTCTTACTGACCCAAACGCCTGGTGCCGTGGCAGTGTATGTGCTTATAGAATAAAGTTCCACAGAGCTATGACTGCCTGACCTGCACTGGGTATGGAGCCTTCAGGTCCACCTGCACAGGGATCCACTCTCCTGGAGGGTTGATAAAGTCGACCCGGTTGTCGGACTCGGCTTTCCACAGCTCCTGGTACTGGCCCAGACGGTCCCGGGTGAAAACGGTGAACATGTTCCCTCTTTCCTCGCTTCGCTGGTACTGAAAGCTCAGGCAGCCGGACATTGGCGCGGTGGCCATGGGGGAGACCAGCGTGGCGACCTCTTTGAAGGTCTTGGCGTAGCTGGAGTCGACGTACATGAAGTGACCTGAGGAAGACGAGCAAACCTGGAAGAAGATTCCCTCCACCACGGAGGCGGAGTCTGCAGCTTCCTGCGGCTTCAGGGTGTAGCAGTTAGCTAAATGACTATAATCCAATCGGATGCTCCTGATTGCAGGTTTCCAGCTGTGAGTCCATAATCTGCTGGTTTGTTTTTTCTCAGTCTAAAAATAACGCTGAGTCATGCTTTTAGTCTCAGACACACACAGTGCTGCAAACTACTTTTTTAGTTTATTTATTGTAAAAGATTGTTTGGGTGTCAATTAGTAATTGATTATTGTGATGATTAATCGATTAATCAATAGTGCAGATTTTCCATTGGTTTAGTTAAATTAGCTTCCATTAATTAGCTTTAATTAATTAGTAACTGGATAGAATTTGAAGCTAAAATTAGATGACTTTATAAGTTTTAGGTACAATATAAACAGACAGTTTTTTTTATCTCAAATGTAAAATTATTTGTAAAATTTTTGGCTGTTTTGATTATTTTGTTCTTCTAGCAAACGGCCTCTTTAGAGGCTGGACTCTCCAGTTAACGATTAATCGATTAGTAAATTAGTTGATGGTTATTTCAAAGATTGATTAATCACGATTAATCGTTTCAGTCTTTGTGTCGTTACAGAATTAAAAGCAGGATTCCCCGCCTCACCTGTCTTGTTGTGGTACGTGTGATCGTCCGGCATGCCGTTGTGCAGCAGCTGGACGCCGCCGCCGCCAACGTACCAGTTCACGTTTACGTTCCACTGGTTGTTGTAGCCGCACAGGTGAGGCTCCTCAAAATCACACTCTGCAGACAGGAGACGGAAAAATCAACCTGCAGTTTGGACAAAAACTAAACCCAAACCATCCGCTATCAGCAATGACCAGAACCTACAGGCAACATTTATAGATTAACATAGAATTATAATAATTTATTTAATCTGCTTATTTCTGTTCATGTTCATAAGATAAATGCAGTTTATTATATTTAAAAAATACCTGGAGTCTCTAGTTTGTCTGCATTTCATGGCCAAATCAAAGCTGTTTGCTAAAGAAACTGCTTGTTCAGGATTTAAGCAACAAATCAGGAAAATTAAGGAAGGAAAAACTGAAATGATTCATTAGCAGGTAGAAAATCCAACAATTCTTTTCAAGTGAGAGAAGATTTCTAAGATTGTTTTCTAAGGATTTTTTTTTACAAAATGTGACTTTTCAAGCTCAGACATTTTCTGGTTTTAATTTTAGATCATTTTTGAGATTAATTTGAATATTTTTTGTTTTAGGGAGAGTTTTTGCAAATTTTCAACTTTTCAAGGTCAATATTTCTGACTTTTTTTTAACATTTCTGATACTTTTTTCTAGCAAAATTTTGAATTTTGAAACTCACAACTTGCAAAGTTTCTTCCAGCAAATGTTTGACTTTTCACATTCAGACATTTTGTTATTCTAGAACATTTCTTACATTAATCTGAACATTTCTCAGTTTTTTTCATCTTTTCATACTCAGAAATTTACAGTTTTTCTAGAAAGGGTGTCAGATTATTCTGACACCCTTTCTAAAATCTTTGACTTTTCAAACTAAGAAGTTTCCAAGTTTTCCTATGTCATTTCTGGAATTAATCTCCAAATTTCAAAGCTTTTTGGCAGCAATGTACTCCCTCTTTCTCTACTTACAATACAGTAAAAAACAAAGGTTCACCCTGTTGCTTCTTGTGTTTGTTTTGTTTTTCTAAGTGCTGCAGAAACGAGCAGCAGATGTTGTCCATCAGGTCGTGCTGTTTCGCTCTGATCTGAGTGGAGATGTGAGAGTCGAACAGCAGAAGCGCCGTCACCCACCAGGCAGTATCCGGGGTGATGTGGATCTCAAAGATGGCCACGCTGCCCTGCGCTCGCTCCAGCCTGACCTTGGATCACAATCTGCTCACAACAGGACGGGAACACCAGAGAAGTGAAAGCAGCAGATTTACTGTAAATTAGCACTAACTGAAAACATGCATGCAGTTTTTCTTGATGCTTTGACAGAAAGCGGGGTTAGCAGGCCGAGGCGGCGTTAGCAGGCCTCTCTGCCGGTGTGTTTATGTGATGAGGGGCCCACACATGACGGAGGCCTGGCACCTCATCATCGTGGTGCCGGTCCAGTCCGCCGGGCTCTGCCTCGCCTCTCAACGTAAACACCAGCTCTGTGTTTACGCTACGATAAAAGCTCTGCGTATCGGACTAACTTTAGACTGACGTGGAGAACCGGGCTGAGGAGGTTCTGCTGCAGCAGCAGAAAGTTCTGATTAATTCATCAATAATGATCCAATAACCGAACTCCACTGGAAAACAATCAATAAGATGAAAATTCACAAAACAACATGGAGGGATGGATGTTTTAATGTTGGATGTTTAGTTTTAATGTTGGATGTTTTGCTGTACGGTTGGATGTTTAGTCGGATGTTTGGCTGTACGGTTGGATGTTTTGCTGTACGGTTGGATGTTTAGTCGGATGTTTTGCTGTACGGTTGGATGCGGACCCTCTCCTCACCCTGAACGGCTCCGAGGCGTTGTGCAGATCCACGCTGGCGATGACCAGCTGTCCGATGGCGTCCTGCTGCTCCACAGCGGCGTGTCGAAGCTCCGCCCCTCGCTGCGCCGCAGAACCTCCAGGAGACCCGACCCGGCGATCTGGTACACCAGCCGCACGCAGCTCCACTCGTCGTGCTCCAGGGATGGGCTCAGCAGGACTCCGGTCGCTTCTCTCTTTGGTTCGATGCCAGAACCTGAGCTGCCCTCCACGTCGTCGCTCGCGGTTTCCACAGCAACAAAATGTCCTAAACAAAACATTTTTGCTAACTTCAAGAATATCTAGCACATTTAGCTCATGTTGTAAAAAAACAGCAGGCAGTAGTTTAATATCCAGTGTTTATAATCTGCTTTCTCTGGTTAATTAGGCTAAATAAAATTAGCAACAGAGTTAGCAATACTCAACAACTATAAAACTAAAACCATTCCAAAGAATCAAACCATACAGGAAGCTGTGCAATAGCAGGTTTAATCCACTAGAGGGTAATATGCTGTGTTGTGAATGCTAAGGCTAGTTAGCATGGCCTCTGATGATGACAAATAAAGTTTTCCTGTAAGTTGTTTCTCCACTACCAGTACAGGAGGGTGATTGGCAGCGCTAAGACCCGCCTCCTGGCTCTGATTGGTTGTTTTTGGTCGGGAGCGATGCATTTCTTCAGTAGCTCAAGGAAAAGGTGGAGGAGATCCATCTTCACCTCATTCTGTATCAAAGTTACACACTGCAGCTTTAAAAGCCACATAATTTCCATCATTTTCTCCAACTCCAAAGCTCTTTACTCCGGTGTGCATTCCTCGCTCCAGCATCTCATCCAAAACAAATGCAGCATCCGTCCCTCAGCGCCCAGTTATGATGTAAAACAAAAACAGCAGAAGAAGCAAAATAATTTCTTATACGTTGAAGTTACATAACATACTGAAACATGGACTATACAGCTAATTTCAGTCCAAAAAGAGAAAGGATTTCCCTTTGGGAAAAGCCCCAACAAACTAAATGCTGTTTATATGAGAGTCTCTGAAACAATATTCAGAAGTGAATATGGTGATCCAGACCAGGATTTAAAACCCAGTCATAAATCTCTGACCCAGTTCAGCATAAAATCCTTCGTGACCCCTGTGTGCCTCAGAGCGTTTAGAGCTCAGTGGTCTGTCATTTATTATTTGCCCCGGTGGAATGCTCTGCAGCCCTGCAGCTCCGCAGAATGAGAGGAAAACACCCAGAAATGGAGACTCAAACAGCCACTTAATGGGAAACTAATTTCACTCGTGTTTGTCAATAAATGTCAACTAACCGCATCCAGTGAACAGTAGTTGACATGGGTTTGCTCGTGCTGGTTAGTGTGAGAAGAGCATAAACAAAAGCAGAAGAAAGAAGGAATCGACAATTAAAGGCTGCGCCGCCACTGAGGCTTTTTAACAAGCGTCAGGATGTAGCAACCAGGATGGAAACAGTTGGAGGAAAGCGACTGAGTCATGAGTCACGCTGCCGCAGCAGGGCAGTTTTTAGTCTAGTTCAACCAGTGATGGTGGATGGAAACAGAGAAAGCTTACAGAAGTTTTTCCAGCGCTGTCTGATTTGTGGGTGGTGCAGTAACAATTACAGAATATCTGTTTTTGCTCTTCAGAAATACTGAAAAGCAGTTATTCAATAAATTAAGCTTAAAAGAAACTAACTCGCATCACTAAGCTAATCCCAGAGCACCAGAGTTCACAGAGTTAACAATCACAATGTAAGCAACTGTAAAGTACAAAAGTTTTCACATTAATTAGTACAGCAGATACTAAAACATTAGCATTCTGTGATTAGCTATTAGCATGACTATGACTGCTTGCTGGCTCGTACTAATGCATCAAATGTTTCATTTGTAGTAAAACTGATTTTTGAAGGAAAGAAAATCAACTGCACTGCCCGCAGAAGTTAGATTTCATATTCTGAAAGTTGCAGAGTTTTTCAAACATCGATTTCAGGATCCAATATGGCCGCTCCTCTTGGAAACGGTAGCAAGCTGTGGTGCAAACATGTTTATTTCATTGTTCATCTAAAGACATTTTCTAGTAAAAAATGGAAGTTCTCTTCTTTTATTTTTATCTACAATGGCACTGATATAATTAAAATGTCTAATTTAGTCTTGTATATTATATGTAGCTTATGTTTTTCTCTGTACTTTACCATTAGGCAAACATTTGAGCTAGGTAGCTAACAAGTGAATATTTACAAGCATGTTTGTTAGCTAGTTAGCTTCTTTGCATCATGGGAAAGTGTATATTTATTGCCAGTTGGTGTTTGTTTATCAACCCGTATGTGTCCAGGTGTATTTGGTGTAAAAAAATCAAAATAAACTTGGCACTTCTGCATTTAAAGCTGATGTAGTTTCAAATATCAGGATTCTACAACCACCATATGACCACCTGCCTTAAAGTTAAGAGAAACAAGATCCTTTGCTTATCTTTAAACACCATGAACAAAGTGACCTGGAGTGTGGCCTTGAAATAGGCCACACTCCATGTGACAGTTAAGTTGACGCAGTCCAGCTGTTTTGTGCTAGCTCCAGAGGTCCATGCCCCCATTCTTCCTAACTCTGTGCATAATCGTTGCTTTTCAGCACAGACACATGAACGCACAACAAAAGGCAGAGTAATCAGTGTAATCACACGATCTGAGCTTCATTCATCAGGCTGTGAGCTACACAAATATACGATGACATAACTTCGATATGGGGATGTAGCGCTCATTCATATGAGCTGCACTACAAACCCGAGGGGAAAAGCCGAAATGTGCTATTTCTCTCTCTCCAGATGTTCTCTGATGCTGCACTCAATGCAGACCAGATGGACCTTTTTCTACGGAGGGCTTTAATGCTTCAGCCAAAGAAATCAGCAGCAATAACAGCATCTTGAAGTTACATTCTGCATCCTTACAGCTGCAGAATGTAACTTTTTTTATATATATATATATATATATATATATATATATATATATATATATATTTTTTTTTTTTTTTTTTTTTTTTATTTTACATATAAAAAAATCGAGCTCCTCTTCTTTGTTGTTTTTTTTTTTGTTTTGTTTTCTAATGGTATAAGTAGCCATTGAGTGACGATGACAACAGAAAATAACCCACCATCTTAGAACTATCCCTCGCCTCACTGTTATCTGATTTATGACCAATATAACCAAATTACAGTTATTACTTGATTACAATTTTTGACTACTCTATGCTTGCCTACCAAGATGGCGGTTCAGGATCACTTCCGGTTTAGACTTGTGGGACTTGTGTACTATCTAATTACAATATTTGAGCTAAATGATGACAGTTATTATTGATAGTTATAACATTGTCTTGGAAAATATGTCGCCTTATAACAAGTGGTACCAAGCTACCAGTTACATCTAGCACAGCATGTCCTGAATGCTAACGCTAGTTAGCATAGCCATTGATGACTGTGGATAAACAGTTTTTCTGTAATGTTAAGTTTTTACTCTGATTGGTTGTTTGTGGTCATTAGAGGAGGCCATGAGAGGAGGAGGTCAATCCGTACATTTTAGCACAGTGATGGTACGGATTGGGCTTCCGGAACAGATCCGGTCAGCTAGCATAGCGGATAAACTGTTTTTCTGTAACGGTAATTTGTTCAGATTGGTTGTTTTTCGGTTTATTTCGGCGATAGCAGCTCAGAGGGGAAATAAATGTATATTATACATTAAACTAAGATAGTGATAATCTCAACAAACAAAATGAAAAAACATTTTATCATACTGATGATACAAAAAGTGCTTTCGGAATCACTACAGTTCAGCTAGCATAGCGTGTCGTAAATGCTAATGCTAGTTAGCACCGATAATGGCGGACAAACCGTTTTTCTGTAACGGTAACTTGTTCTGATTGGTTGTTTCGGTCGCGAGCAGCTCAGGGAGAAGGTGAAGGAAATCGATATTTATTATGCAATACATTCACAACATGGTGACAGTCTTAACAAATGTGGAAAAAAACATGTTTTATGGTGACACACAGTAGCGTTAAAGGTGCAGTAGGGAATCAAAGTACCGTCTCCGTGCAGCGTCCAGCTGGTGAAGTCTGAGTCTGACGCATATCCGCAGGTGTTGGACTCAAAGTTACATGAGCCTGGCAGCAGCCGGCTGTGGCTCCGACTGCGGCTTGGAGCGCAGGAATAGAAACGGAGGCAGAGGAGACGGTTAGTATGAATCATCGGCAAGTGTCGTTACTCTCCAGCAGCAGTGAGAGCTTACCGACAAAAGCCAGGAGGGAGATCTGCAGCATCGCAGCTTTCTGTCTCAGGAACAACGCCATCGCTCTGTGGTGAAGTCCAGAAAGTAAAAGAAACAGAGAAAGTTTTTTTGTGTTTGCAGAAAAAGTGTTTGCAGGTTTTGTCTGAGTGTCTCTCCAGCTCAAAGACTGGCAGCACACTGCAAGGAGGAGGAGGAACAGGGAGGAGGAAGGGAGGGAGGAGGAGAGAAGGTGAATGATGAGCTAAAAAGAGCAGAAAACTTGGATGTGGAGAGTTAACAAAACCTGATCGAAAAACATCAGAGGCACTTTGGACTTTATCAAAACCAGCTGGCACCATTCAGCTCAGTGGAAATCAATCTGCACTGCAAAATACAACATCTCACCATCAATCTGCACTGCAAAACACAACATCTCACCATCAATATACACTGCAAAAAAACATCTCACCATCAATCTACACTGCAAAACACAACATCTCACCATCAATCTACACTGCAAAACACAACATCTCACCATCAATCTGCACTGCAAAAAAAAAAAAACAACATCTCACCATCAATCTGCACTGCAAAACACAACATCTCACCATCAATATACACTGCAAAAAAATATCTCACCATCAATATACACTGCAAAAAAACATCTCACCATCAATCTGCACTGCAATCTACCAAGTGTTTCTACTGTAAATGTCTTATTACTCTAAAACATATTCACAGCAAATGTGTTTATGATCCAATCATACTGATACCGATTATCCATGAGCCTAAAAACCTTTTATTGTTTTACTGCAACGAATATTTGACAGTTATGTTCTCATTCCCTTAAGTAAATAAAGTTGCAGCACTATTTTCCACTGGATCAGAAAAACTTGGTCTTATGTTGTGTTTTTTGCAGTGCATTACAACAGTTACAGTAACACAGTGCTTCTCAAATAGTGTGGCGGGCCCCCTTTGGGGGGGCGTGTGATCCTGGGGCTTTTTTTGGCCGAACTAGTATAAAGTGTAATTGCGCACAGTAGGCGGCAGTGGCGCTCTCATTGTTACTTCTGTCACGTTTGCAACAGTGCAACATTTTACGACTTACAAGACAACAGGTTTGCCTTGGTTAGCAGTGTTACGTCAACAAAAAGCTCCGACTGCGTTCTGTCTATGGCCTCCGTTATTCAACAACCCCCAACATGAAAAAGTTTTTCACAGGGATGAAAAGAAAAGCGGAGAGAGACAAAGATAATGAGACAACAGAAAATCAACCGAAAGCTAAGAAGAGGAAATACGACGAAGCGTATTTAGCGCTTGGCTTCACTGTGACTACAGTTGGAGAAGAGGAAAGACCGGTGTGTTTGCTGTGTCTAAAAATGTTCGCAGCGGACAGCATGAAGCCAAATAAATTAGCGCGTCACTTAAATACGTTACATCCCAATCACGCCGATAAGCCGCTAGAGTTTTTTCAGCGAAAAAAATGTTAAGGAAAAAATGTTATGCAGAGATGGATAGTCACGGTGGGGAGTGGGGGGCGCGAATAGTTTTCTTCTTGCTAGGGGGGGCGTAACGGAAAATAATTGAGAAGCACTGCAGTAACAGATTGTAACAGTTGAATGAACTCAGACTCAGAGTGAAGCATGAAGGGGGAAAAGAGCAAAACCCTTAAAGTAAAACAGATTTACAAAGGCTTGAAGTGATGCACAGACACAAATGTATGGAGGACTTATGCTGCCAAGATTGACAATAAATATAGAAATAAAATAAATGGTTTGATATCAGAATTATTTAACTTGCTTTATTTTATTAATTACTTATAACTTATTATTTTCACATTATGTATTTATTTTATAGAATTTACTGTCTCATTTAATTTCTATTAGTTTTTTTTTTCATATTCTGTATTTAATATATATTTTTAATTTAGTTATTTTCAAACATTTTATAATTAATTTGTCTGTATTCTCACATTCTGTATTTATTCACTTGTTTTGTCACATTTTATTTATTTTGTCTCATCTTCTGTTTTTAATATGTTTTATTTATTGTCGGTAAGTTTTATTTCAGCTTTGAATTTTAATTGTTTTGTAATATTTTGTGTTTAATTTTTATTTCCAAAGACTCTTACAAAGAGGACAAGAGGAAAAAAACATGAGGGATGTGATAAAAAAAAAAAAAATCTGTAATAATCGAGCAAAGCTGAAAACGGAAAGAGAAACTAAATCAATGGATTGTCAGTAAATAAAAGATTATTCATTATATTAAAAGTTACAATTATTTATAAGAAAATTAATGAAATAAAATAAGCTAATTCATTAAACAATAAGATGAAAATAAAATAGGAACATTTAATAGAAATAATCTTTAAAAATTATGAGAAAATATTATTGTATATCACACATATAATAAAATATGTTCCTATTTTTTTGTTTATTATTTTTGGATTCACAGTTTTTACTTTATCCAGCCATTTTCATTTTTTTATATGCATTTATAACAATTTTGGCAGGATCAATCCTCCATAAAAACATGCTTCGTTGAGGAATGGAAGGCAAATGATGCCTGGTTTTCATTAAAATCTGAAATCTATCTTAGTAGAGACACTTTTTATTGTGTCTCTACTAAGCTTCTGAGGTTCCTGATTTCTGTTGGAGTTTCTCCAATAAAATATTATTTAAAAGCATTTTCATCTTAGATTTCATTTTTATAGACGTAAATCTTTCCATCTTCCTTTGAAGCCGTCAGGTTTTTCCTCATGTTCTCCCTTTTAATCAGGTAATGCTGTTTCCCCCCATAATTGGAAACATATCAATAAAAAAAACCATAAACGACTAACGAGTTTATTGACTTTGTTACCGAGCAACAGACATTTTTCATCAAACAATATTAAACAGAGACGCTGCCGGGCATCAGCAGCTTAAATAAAGTGAACTACTAACAATGAGGTAACCGAGTGAGATAATGAGGCTCAAGTGGCTGAAAGACACGACACTGAAGGATGCAGTGACCCCTAGTGGCCACGTCTCAGGACTGCAGCCTCCTTTGGAAGAAAACCTGCAAAAACTGCTGCAAATGTTCGCTTTAAAGAAAGAAAAAACGCTGAAACTGTTTAGGAAAAAATGTATTTGAGGCTGAAATCTGCAGCATTTTCAGCTTTATTGGTTTTGGAAGCTAATTCTGCCCATAAAAATGAAAAAGATCAGTTTGTTTACATTAGTTTAAAGTTATTCATTTACAAATTTATTGGAGAAAATGACATAAATGTTCAATGTTTGCGTGATGATCAATAAAAAAAACTGTTCAGTATCAAGTAGGACTCAACGAAGGATACAAAATAAGGACAGAGGAAAGGAATATAAGTAGGGCACAAGGGAAGGAAGGAATGAAGGAAGGAAGGAAGGAAGGAAGGAAGAAAGGAACAAGGAATGAAAGGTTTGAGGGGAAAAAGGATTCAATGGAGGGAGGAAGGTAGGAGACAAGGATGTGAGGAAGGAACGAAGGGAAAGAAAATAAGATGGGATAATAGGAAGCATGGGAGGAAGGAAGGGAAAAGGAAAAAAGGAAGGAATTAGATAAAGAAGGACACAAATAAGAAAGGAAAGGAGGAAGTTAAGAAGGAAGGAACAAACGAAGGACAAAAAGGGAGGAATAAAGATAGGACACAAGGTTAGGAGAAAGAAAAGGTTAATAAAAAACAAGGAAGAAAAGAAAAGGAATGAAAGATGAGATAGAATGAAGGGATGATTGCAGGAAACAAGGATAAAAGGAAGGAAAGAGATAAATAAACAGTTTGTTGTCAGAATTGAATTGTCTGAGGGTAAAATATGAAACTTCCTGTAATTTTTTCCTGTTGGCTCTAAAGTGAAATCCTAGCAGAAGCTGCAGGTTTCTGACCGGCGGAGGAAACAAAAGGAGAGCTGTCCTCTTCCTCTGGAGACGCCGTGCAGTGGAACAAACTTTCCACTTTCCTTCAGCAGCCGATGAGGAAACAGAAACATTTCTCCGATCTCTCCTCAGTCACACATTTCTGTGTTTTAATTCACGTTTCAGTGTCAGATCTCCTCCAGGGCTTCATTTTCCCCCTCAATGTGTTTTCTGACTCACTGCCCAGCTGGTTCTGCTCAGAGACGCAGCAGATTAAAAACCTTCTGAATCGCCTGTAATTTCCAACTGGTTTGTATTTCCGACTTTAGTCTTCGGTTTATTTGTTTAATTTCCTGCGTCAGCGAGGCGAACGCAGCAGGAATAACCGACATGCCGTCCATCCAGAGGCGTTTATACGGTTAGCATGATTTGACCTCTAAAACGCTGCTGGAGGAAAAACGCTGGAGCCCTACAGGAGCTAAAAATCACTTCACACTGACTTTTAAGATGTTTCCCTTTTCACTCATTCAAAGTTTCCACATTTTGTATCTTAAAAATACAAACTTTTATATATTTTATTTGGATTTTGCATGATAACATGCATAATTAAGCTTTAGCCTCCTCTAACTACCAGCTAAGCTAGGTTGGTGGGTAACTATCGCTCATTGGTTGCCTAGCAACAAGCTGCTGGGTAAAAAGCAGTTTAAAGTCCCCCCCCCCAAACTTTGGTTGCCTAGCAACGACTCCCTGAGTAAGTTGCGCAGCAGCAGTTTCATGTTTCACCACCGCGCCTCATTCGCAGCGGTTTCACTGCAGGAACAAAATAAACAGACAGTAGAGAACAAAATATGAACAAAAATACAATATCTAAGCTAAATTGAATCAAAGTAACGGTTTAGCATTAGCTTCCGCTAAGTACCGTCTTGGGATAGCACCTTAAGAGTTAGCAAACCTAACGTTTGTGATTAGTGTTTTAGCATTAGCTTCTGCTAACTCCTTTGTTGGTGTAAACATCAGTGGAACCAATGTTTCTGATTAGTAATTAAGTATTTTTTTTATTATTATTATCTTCACTCTGTACGCCCAACCTGACCCCCAGCCTGACCCCCAGCCTGACCTCCAGCCTGACCTCCAGTCTGACCTCCAGTCTGACCCTCAGCCTGACCTCCAGTCTGACCTCCAGTCTGACTCTCAGCCTGACCCCCAGCCTGACCT